GAATATGCTCACGAGCAAGCTTTTAATGTATGCATGATCTATCAAGTTTGTAGTCGGCACTTAAAATTTTGCCCATTTACAAGACTTAAGGCACGGGGTCATAACCTGATCGCCCCCATGGATGACAGGAACATATTCTTCGACAGCTTAAAGTGCCACCTTTGATCAGTCCATATTTTTCTATGGCAGTTAAGGTATAGGCAGAACATGTTGGTTCAAAACGACAGTTAGAGCCTAAATATGGGCTAATCAATAGTTGATAAACTCGAATTAACCGCATCACCAAAATGACAAAAGGAGTTTGACTCATGTTGGATCAAGCCGGTAAAAACGACGTAACTGCATTTCTAAGCATTGAAAATCCTTCCAGCAGACTTGTTTAAACTGCCGCGCACTGGTCGAGCGTATGGGACGATCCAAACGTAAAATATAATCCCCGAGTGGAAGTTGCAACCGCCGAGTTCGAAACCACGTTCTGGCGACACGTTTAGCGCAGTTGCGATCTACAGCACGTTTTAAATGTCTTTTACCCACCACAACACCTAATCGTGATGTCGGCTCAAAAGATACTAATTGGCTTTGGTTTTCATCCGAACTTACCTTCTGCAAACGACGTTTGTCGATCAATAATAATGTCCAAACTTCTCCTCGAAACCTCTTCCCAAACGAAAAAACGGACGAAAACTCATCCGTTTTAAGGAGGCGATGCGCCTTTGTAAATCCATAGGAATCAGAGAAGCGCGAGTCCGTTGCCAATTGCAAAATAACCGATGTAATGTAAGCTATATATTACACAGCAACGCGTTTACGCCCTTTCGCACGGCGAGCATTCAAAACTGCCCGTCCCCCACGCGTTTTCATGCGAACGAGGAATCCATGTGTACGTTTGCGACGAGTGGTGGAAGGTTGATAAGTCCGTTTCATGTTAGTGTCCTAGCTTTTCTGGATAATGTATTAGTCATGAATATGCGCCACCGATATAAAATCAGACAGACGCCTATCCTAAATTTAGCAAGGCGTTAATTTATCTTGAAACCACCATTTTGTCAAGTTAATCGATGAATCAGCCACACAACACAAAAAATCAATCACTTGCGCCAAGCAAATTAAATCGGTAACCCAACCCAAGGTGTAAAGTAAACAGATTTGATGGTACAGGAGAGTCAACTTCGATATGAACCTTTTTGCCATCGGGAAGAGGCTTGCCCATCAACCCAGGAAGAGCTTTGGTGTCAGGAATTTTAGCAGCATCAAAAGAAATTTTAGCTTTTGACACCGTTGGCGCATAAGCGACGATCCCTCGAATGAACATATCATCGGTAAGCCAGTAATTTGCCCCCACTAGCATACCCGCAGCCACGCCCCACTTAACATTCAGTTTAGCATTATCACCAAGTTGTTCTTTAACAAAATCTTCGTTAATAAAGCGCGGTCGTACAATAATCTGTGGCACAATTGCAGGCCCTACAAAAGGACGAAATTTATCCGTTGGTTTACCAAATGTGTATGATAGCGAAATCACAGGATTAATCGCCCAAAGTTTGATTATTCGACCGTATCTTGACAAATCGCCTTGCCCATAAATCTCAACTTTTGGCGGAAATGGGACAGCAATGGCTAAAGACGTTAAGCTGATATTGTCGGTAAAATAATTTTGACTCCAGACCGCTACATTATTGAAATTCTTTAAGCGTGTAGCAAACCCCTCTTGGTACAGATCCGTGGGATAAATATCAATACCTGGAGAACCAAGCGTAGAATTGGGAAGATTAATACTCGATACCTTGGTCGTATTATTAGCCGTCCCCAAAGATATCTGCGAGCCAAAGCCAATTGAAAATAAACTATCGCCGGCTTTTTGTGCATAGCCCCCTGAGGCTGTCACCATCAATAGTCCCCCGAACCATACCCACTTCTTAAACGCCATGTTCGTCCCCTGTCAGAAATTCATTACTTTAGTCATCCGGTTATGATGCCAGACCACTAATATAACCGTTTCATTCATTTCTTTCAAGACAGATTTACCTATAGACAACAAACAATTTATGTTGATTTATGTAACATTTTGATATAACATGATAATTAATTTCTGCCATCAAAAAGTTTTTAAAGATGTGTGACAAAAATATTTTATAAACCACAAACCACGTGCTAACACAGCATGCCTTATGACAATTCTTAGTTAGAATGCACATCCTTCTTTGTCTTATTGTCATGCCTTCGCGCCATTCTACGTGTAGGTTATCTATTGAGAATGGAGGTTAGTCATTAAAAACGTCAAAGCGATAACCAACGCCAAAACTTAACAATAAGCTATTGGCTTTAACCGTCGATGTTGATTTCACCTCATAATGTTGCCCCTCAGGAAGAGGTTTAGTGCTTGGTGGTACAACATCACTTTTTGGTAATGTTCTTGAACGAATGGTTAAGTTTGAGCGAGATGTAACGGGGATGTAGGCAGCGATTCCTCTCAAATACAAGTTATCGTTAAGCCAATAATTCGCTCCCATCAAGAGGCCAGGTGCAAACTGCATAGGAACTTTGACCTTAACGTAATCTGCATTACCTAATTCGTTTTTAATCCACTCTTTATTAACAACCTTAGGATTGATCGCCCAAACAAAGGTTAGCGAAGGTCCCAAAAATGCTCTAAACTTGTCAGAAGGCTTGCCAAAGGTGTAAGTTAGTGCATAAGTCGGCGTAAATTGTTTGTAGGTGATGATCGTACCATACTTGTCTGAATTGCCGCGCCCTTCAATTTTTGCTGTCGGTGGCCAAGTTAAATAGTTGGTTAAACTGACGTTATCCGTAAAATAACGTTGGAACCATAGCATAGGTACAATCAAATCCCTGTTTTGTGTACCCAAACCTTGCTGGTACAGGCCGCTAGGATAAATGGTGCCAACATCGGGAGATCCCACCGTAGAATTGGGAATCGTGATTGAGTTGACCTGAGAAGAATTTGTTGGTGTACTAAAATTCATAATATAGCTGCCACCAATACTCACTAAGGTGTCGCCTGCTTTTTGTGCATAGCCCAACGATGCATTCATCAGACCGAACAAACAAAGCACGCCAGTGCTGACGCGCAAGCTATTTTTTCGCATAACTGTCTCCGATTTGGCTTTTAAATGATCCTACAGTCGTAATCATACCATAAATGAATCATGATTAATTGGGCTTGAGTCATAGTTAGTCTTAACCAACATGATGATAAAACACGGATAACAATAGACTCGAGATACTGCTTTAGCTTAGCATAGGGCATAACCAGCCCTCAAAATCCCACGATAGGAAGCTATTCGTTAAAAGTTAAGTGGTTTTTATCTGAAACACCTCAACTCCCACTGAGTCACAATCGGAATAAACATCTGGTTTGGCTGTAGACACTCGTGTAGCAATCACTTTGGGGTGTGCCAACATTTTTTTAACGATCGCATCACACAGCGTTTCTTGTAGTTGAATGTGTCCTATTTTGACCGTATCGTGTACAGCTGTACGCATAAAATCATAATCAACGACTTCTTCGAGTTGATCATGTGTTGGGGTATTGTCTTGCAGCGGAATATACAGATCAATATTAACAATCACACGTTGTTCTGCACGTTTTTCAAAATCATGGACACCGATATTAATCGCCACCTCATAGTTTTTTAAAAATAACCGACGGCAATGCTGCAATGGTAGGTAAAATATGTGATCCATATCAATTCATTAATTTTTAATTGTTTGCTCAAGCACATGCAATTGGTGATTGAGTTGCTCATCATGAGTACGTTCTTGGGTAATTTTACGAACAGCGTGCAAAACTGTTGTATGATCCCTTTTGCCAAATAGCTCACCAATTTCTGGCAAACTCTTTTGGGTGAGCTCCTTAGCCAGATACATCGCGATTTGTCGAGGCTTGGCTATATTGGCTGGCCGTTTTTTGGAATGCATGTCCGAGACTTTGATATTGTAATAATCTGCAACGGTTTTCTGAATACTCTCAACATTAATCGCACGATTTTGAACCGATAAGAAGTCTTTAAGAGCTTCTTTAGTTAGCATTAAATCAATTGGACGATGGCAAAACTTTGAAAAAGCGAGCACCTTGTATAACTGCCCCTCCAGTTCGCGTACATTTGAACGAACATTTTTAGCCATAAAAAATGCAACTTCTTCGGGGATATGCACCTGCATTTGCGCAGCTTTTTTGAGTAAAATCGCCACCCGCATTTCAAGCTCTGGTGGTTCAATCGCTACCGTTAGTCCAGAACCAAATCGAGAAATTAGTCGTTCATCAACTTTACTGAGTTCTTTTGGATAGGTATCACACGTCATGACAATTTGGGAGCGAGAAGCAATCAGTGCTTCAAAAGCATAGAAAAACTCTTCTTGAGTGCGCTGTTTTCCAGCAAAAAACTGGATATCATCAATTAATAACAAATCTAGCGAATGATAATAGCGTTTAAAATCATCAAATGTTTTACGCTGATAGGCTTTGACTAAATCTGAGACGTATTTTTCTGCATGCACATAACATACGCGTGCTTTGGGGTTTTGCTGTAAAACGACATTACCAATCGCTTGAATTAAATGTGTTTTACCTAAACCCACACCACCATAAACAAAAAAAGGGTTATAAGATTGTCCCAATTGGTGTGCCACTTGTTCAGCCGCGCCACGTGCAAGCATGTTTGCACGTCCCATCACAAAATTATCGAATGTAAATTCTGGGTTAATTGTGCCTCGCGTATTGGGCGTAGAACGTGTTGGCGTTGAATCAGGCACCATAAGATCGTTTTGATCTGTCACTTGACTTTGCTCACGCACAAGTACATCTGCAAACTGCTGAGAGTTAACATATTGACTTTGCGATGCTTCAGATGTCAAATTTCGTTTTTTGAGAGATGCCTTCGAATCGACAATCAGGTCAACTTTGAGAGTGGGCAATTGTAAATAATCCGAAAGAATCGATGATAACAGATTAAAAATATTACGCTTTACCCAATCCAACTTAAATCGATTTGGGGCGGCCACGACAAAAACAGCCTGCACTGGATCTAAATGCACCGCTGTCAATGAGGCAATCCACGTATTAAACTGCTCAGGAGAATATTGTTGCTCAAGTTGTGTCAAACAATGTCGCCATGCCAAATCTATCGATTCCATTAACTGACCATCCACCCTCAAGCATCCGTCATCTGCAACCCAGATCACCTTTTTACCTGTGACTCCAAGTCAAAAATCGGAAATATAATAAATTATCAACAATCCACCCAAATCGTTATCAACAAACATGCCTCAAACGTTGGAAACTCAAACGCAGTTTAACACGATTTAAGGTCTAGTTGGTTTGCACTATTTGAAATGTCTGACTATTCCAACCATTTTCCAACAAAATCACCAAGGTTGTATACAGTTTCTTTTGCTCACTTAACCAAGCTTTTGATACCGTGCCGGTTGGAGGGGTCAAAACACGTCTAGCTCCATTTTGCCCGACACCAATGACACTAACTTGTTTAGCATGATTTAACGCCTTGAAATCCATATTCGCCAAAGTTGAGACGACTTTAGAGTCATTCACAGGTAAGGTAGGCAAATTCAACGTATAAAGTAATGTCGGCTTAGCTGTTGCCGTCGGTTGTTGATATTGCAGGCTTAGCTGCTTAACCCCTTGTTTAGCATTCATTGGCACAAATGCTGTGACACGCACCGAGTGACTCGCGATTTGTTCCATTAAACGTTCCAGCGGTTGCTGCCAATTAATCGGTGTGCTATTGGATTTTTCCAACAAATTTAATGCCACCGTTTTTGTAGAACCATCTTGATACGTCGCTATTAACTCAAAGTATTGAGCTGTATTTTGGCTCGCTGGTGTTCGATCTAAAAGTCGTTTGGCGACGAAAACATCGTCAACAATTGCACCTTGTGTTTGTTGTCGGAAAAAA